CACCTACAGAATGCTGATACCTTGTACCAGGTACATAGTAAGCAGGAAATATATGGTCTGGATGATGTTACAGCAAATATTCACCCTTCTGTGCTTACAAATTTAGTGTAACAGATTTTTAAGGTTTTTGGTGTTTGGGTTTTTTTTGTTTGTTTGTTTTGTTTTTTTTTTTTTTTTTTTATTAGGTAGAGTTATAGACAGTGAGAGAGAGACAGAGAGAAAGGTCTTCCTTCCTTTGGTTCACTCCCCTAGTGGCCGCCACGGCCAGCACTGTGTCAATCCGAAGCCAGGAGCCGGGTGCTTCCTCCTGGTCTCCCATGCGGGTGCAGGGACCCAAGCACTTGGGCCATCATCCACTGCCCTTCCCGGGCCACAGCAGAGAGCTGGACTGGAAGAGAAGCAACTGGGACTAGTACCCGGCGCCCCAACCGGGACTAGAACCCGGGGTGCCGGCACCACAGGCGGAGAATTAGCCAAGTGAGCCAGGGCACCGGCCCTAAGGTGTTTTTTTTTTTTTTTTTTTTTTGTGGCTTTGATGATCATTCCATGATAAATATATGTTTTATAACAAAATATTTCTTTATAAGAACACTCCCTTCTCCAAATATGTCAATAGTAGACCACATTTTCCTTTTCTACAAAATAGATGCTGGTTTCTTTGAATTGCCATTGTTGCAATTAACTATTTGAACTTACTATTTTTAAGAAATCATATGAGAAATATCTGCAATGTGGCAGATAAAATACAAAGTAGTCTGAATCAGTGAGTCTTTCTTACTGTATTAAAAAAATTAAAGCCCTTGACAAATAGTAGCATCTACCACTATCTCACATCTCAAATTATACTAAATGTTGTTCGTTGAGTTACTGTCTTCAAAAATTCGAGTTATTAACTTTCTTCAAAAATCATGGCCCTCCCCTTATTGAAAATGGAATTGAGGTCCCATAATGAGTTTACTGAGAATCACTTGCTGTTTTACTAACATCTCTAATAATGATATCAGTAGCCCTGCCCCTCAGCTGGCTAATGAAGTGATAAGAAAAAGAAGATGGGAAGAAAGAGTGACCACAAACTACTAAGTGTCTTCGTAATATTAGTGCATTAGCTGTTATATGGGAGGCAGCATGTGTCACCTCCCCTTCCATTGGCTGTTGAGCCAACATCAATACAACACTTTCAGAGCCAAATTACTAAACAAGCTGCCAATTAGGCTTGCAGTCAGCTGGATAGATTAGTGGCTAAGAGAGGCCGTTACAAGATTTTCATCTCTTGAACCAATTACGCAAGTGAATTACCCTCCACAATACTCTTTGGAAGATTTGAAGGGAAAGGACCTACTCAGCTGTAATAGAAACAAGAGATCCAGCATACAGGCTGGGAGTGGGAGCATGCAGAAGGGTTTGCAGGCTATGTTTTGTGAAAACTGCCAGAGCAGAAGAGCTTTCTAGAAAAGGACTTAAAGGATTTAACACTGCGAGAGCAGAAGAAGGGGAAATGATGGTTATGGTATATACTGTGCTAAGACAGTTATTCCACTCCCATGCTTTAATCTCATAAAAGACAGATAAGAGACCAACAGTAGGGCTAGTATCATCTTCCATGAAAAATGAAGTATTTGTGACTTTTGACTTTTTTAGGTTGTATTTCTATGGGGAAAGCTTTAGCATTTGAGGAATTAACTGTTACACTTTTTTCTTCCTTTTTTGTTTCAAGTATAAACAATACTTTATTTTAAAGAAGAGAAGTGAACTCAGCATTATAAGAGATAGAGGTGGGGAAATGAGTTAGTTTCCACCTATATTAAAAACACAAACATGAGAATAGTCAGACCACCCCTGGATTGAAACAAAATATTTGAAAATTATGAAAGTGAATTCTTTTCACTTGCTGTTAACTGTAGAGCTGAAAATTGGCCATAATTTAGCAGTTTTATGTAGAAATTTTTAAATTGGCCTTATTTTTTTTCTTAAAATTAAACAAATTTTAAACTTGAATTTTTGCAAATGTTGTGTCTGAAATGTGAGTAAACAGATGTGTAGCCTACGGCAACATTAGACCTCTGATATGCTTTTAGCTTACGAATGAAATTGAATTAATTCATGGCTATCACCAAAAAATCAGGGTTATAAGACTGACTGCTGGTGCACTGTTGAACCTAGCATACCCGATCAGCAGCTGTTTTGACAAAAATTACATGTTTTGGAAGCCTGCCTTGGTTGTCACTTTAAACATAAATTCAAAATAAAAACTCAATTACTCTTTTGCTCAACAAAATTTATTGGTAAATGGCTTTTCTTTGAGTTTGTCTACTTATAATCTCTATTTACACATATTTTGCCCTCAGTAAATAATGTTATGCAGTATATTTTCTTTGACCTCAGACATGGCCATTCAAAGTACAGGTAATGGAAATTTTTTCTGTTTCACATTAAAGTGCTTGTTTCCAAGTAAGAATCCATTTGATATGTCCAGAGTCACTGTTTACTTAATCTTTAATTCCCGATAATAAATTTTGCAAATGGCAGTGATTCATTCTATTCTCACTCCTAAAATGTAATGAAGATTGAGCATCCCAAAATGTCCCACAAGGGGCTCTGAAAATCAATGAGTGATTGCTCTGTAGTAAATAAGAGTTACACTTAGAAAACTCATCTCCAACACTTTGCAGTTTTCCTTCTTTTACAAGTCAAAAACCACAAGAAACAACCCACCTGCTGTTTGCCAGAATGCCAGATACAAATTTCCAGATATACTACTGGTTCAACAAACAATAGTTCTTTTTATCATTACTTCACTTTTTGCTGTGAAATATGTATACCAAAGAACACATAGATATATACATATATATATATATATATATATATGTTTAAAGAATAATGATTAGTTGACCATTTGTGCAGCCATGACCCAGGCCAAGAAATAGAGCACTTTGGGGTCCCATAGGTAATATTTTGTTGTGACTGAATCTTAAGGATTTTTCTGTCTGTGACACCACTGCGATCATGAGCGTGGGCTCAGAAAAGGAGTTCTGAGGGACAAAAGGGACAGAAGTTCTCAGCTTTTGTTGTTGTTGCTGCTGCTGGGTATGTGCAGTGTCATAATCCTGAGTCAGGGAGGAAATATGTGATGATAGAAAAGGTCAGTGGGGGCTGGGGGGAGGTCTAGGTTGGTCCTAGAAAGACATGTGACTCACAAGCTTTGGAAAGCAGTGAGCAGTCTTGTCAAAAGCTGCCCATCTCAGCCTCCTTGTAGGAAGATTCAGCCCACATTTCAGGGCATAAATACAAGTATGCTAGACCCAGGGCTCAATTGATACACTAGGAACATCATGCAGATCTTTGAAAAGTAAGGTATCTTCAACCTTGGAGGCCCAGGGAGGGAATGTCAGTCAAGCACTGCATCCCCGTAAGTGTGCAACTCCAGAGCTCTACAGCACTTTTGTGGGAAGCCCTGGTGGAAGAGATGGGACTGAATGTGTTCTCACTAAAGCAAAGGTTATATGAAGGTACAGTCACTACCTACCTTTTCTAATCTTTTTTTCTAATCTACAGTCTCTAATGCTGATAACCACTTTTGTGGTTAGGAAGTAACCACAAGAAATGCTCTGGTAATTAAGGTTCTAGTTGTTAGTATTTGGCTAGGTCAAGATTTTCTTGCTATCTTCTTTTCTTGTACCATAATCTAATTGCTGCCACTACAGTATGAACAGATACAGACCAAACAAGGAGTACTAACCTATACTGTACCTGGGGCAGACAGACCAAGTCCATGCCTGCAGTTACAAGAAAGATCTCAGGTTCTTGTGATTCTTTGACATGTATGATATTTGTTAATTTCTCAGTTCACTGACTTCAAATATTTAATACTCCTAAGTTTTTCCCTAAAATCAAACAGTATATATGCTCAACTTTTCCCATACGGGCCTAAAATCCAATTTTAAATAAAAAAACTTATCTTTGAAACTGTCATCCAAGAGAATCTTAAAATTAGATGCATTTCTCAGGTGTCTTTGCTAAGAGAAGAAAACAACAGCTCTATCTAATTCTCATGACAAGCACTAGACTATTCCTTGCCAAATAATGAAGATGGTGAGAAGGGGAGGTAGACAGAAGGAGAAGGAAGAGCAAGAAATAAGAAGGACTATTTATATGTGGTGAGAGATATATATCTGTTTTTACATTATATGTGTATGTTTATATATACATATATATTTAAATTTCAATATTATTTTCCTCTCCTTACCCATCTCTATACTCATTAAAACATGGACCTGGAAGGAAAGAAGAGAGCTAAAGGATGCATATGTTTACAGACTGAATAATAAATAACAAGAAGGGGATTATAAGAATATAAATTCCTAGGAATTTAGAATGCCATCAGTAGTGCTTTGGGTTTAGTTTGAATTTGGTTTTGCTGAATGTCAAAGTCCTGGGCAAATGTAAGATATTATGCTATAAGTTAGTGATTTTCAGAATCACCCATTGAGACTTTAATTGTAATAAAAAGAAAAAATATCCATTTGTAGAGTACTTCACAATTTACTGTCAATTACCCTTACATATTGAGGTACTTCAAAAAAAATCAGAAACAATGGAATTTACTTTGCTGCAAATATATTTTAAAATCCATGGATCATTTTTTTCATAATATCCATTTTCCATGAACTTGTAGAAGACCACTCATGCATGATCTCATCTGATAGTACAACTTTCTGTGAGCTAAGCAGTGTATGGTGTAGTATACCTGCTTTTTACAGATGAGAAAACAAAAGCTCAGAGGGTCTTAAATAATTTATCCTGCTTCAAAGTGGTGGAAATGAAATTCCAAGCAAGATCTGTCTTCCATTGATCTCACTACTGTGTGTGTTTCCAAAGATGAAGAAACGACCCTCCTTGGTACCTTTTTGAAAAAAAAAAAATGTTTCAAGCATGTGGTTTTCATATCCTAAGATGTTCAACTGTGTCCCTATTAATGCACAATTATCACTTTATCATTTCAGGACTTGTGGGTGAAAATGCCCAGCCAATCCTAGAAAACAACATTGGAAACCGAATGCTTCAGAATATGGGCTGGATGCCTGGATCAGGCCTTGGACGAGACGGCAAAGGGATCTCTGAGCCCATTCAGGCCATGCAGAGGCCAAAAGGCTTAGGACTTGGATTTCCTCTACCAAAAAACACTCCTGTAACTACGACCCCCAATTCAGGGAAATCCACCTAAGAAGAAAGGCAAAGAAGAAATGCTGTACACTTGTTATTCATTAGATCCTGTTGTCCTTAAATTACAACATACTTCTGTTTTTGAAGCAGAAGTCTGCATTTCCTCAATATTGTCACTCTAGCTTCCTAACTGCACACAGTACTGCCACAGTGTTAGAACTGGGATTTCATCACAATTCATGGTGCTAAAGTGAAAACCTCTCCCCTTACTTCTTTTTTTTTTTTTTTTTTGGAGTTATTTCTTGGTATAAAGAGCTGCTCATTTCTCTTATTTATTTTGATCTCATCTTTCAGTACCCTCTAATGCTTTGCTTGATTCGTGCATGAGTGTGATGCAGGCAAGTGTGAGCACATCCACAGTTTTCTAAAATGGAGCCGGCCTGAAAGGATTATGTTTCATAGCCTCATTACCTGTAGTAACCCAAAAACCCTATTATCCCATCAGTGAAGTCCTAAGCAAATCTTTGTTCGAAAGGCTTGACAATTTTCATATCCCTTGAATTTGGTTTTCTCGTAAGGATTTTTTTCCAGTATTTTACCCATTAATTTTCTATCTTTGGACAATGTAGGATGAAGTTCACAGTTGATAAGCAGCAATTAATATTTCCCTCAGACATTTTGACAAAGTAAACCTCTTCATTGTTATCACCACAGTGCCCTCAACATTAATGCAGATAATATAAATTTTACCTCATTTAGAACATAAGATAGTTATCTAAATGTATAAATACATTTATAAAAAATGTATTTTTTAAATTCACCATTACTAAACTGTAAACTCTATTAATCCAGACTTACTTCTACCTCTTTCTTCCCAAAGTTGTTATTTTTTTAAGATCAACTCAAATGCATTAAACTGAGTTTTGATTTTAATCATTGGACTGAGTTGTTAGAATATTGAATAAATTCATTTGAAGATTTGAAAATGACTCTCTCAAGAATTCAAATTTCTCACAATGGCCCAACCCACTTAAGAGATGAACAGAGGGAGTGCACAGCACTAATTTGCGCTTAATGAGATGTAAGCTATTCCTCTAAAACGAAGCAAAACAAGTCCTGATCATCATGTGCCAAAGACTGAGTGATTGCTGGATCAGTTACTTCCTGTCAGAAATTCTAAATTGCTCTTGGTTTAGATGAAGTGATTTGTTATCTTCATTACCAAGAATTTCATTATTAATAACTATTAACAGTAACAGTTGTATTTATAGTGACCTATGTTGGTTGGGTAAAGATTGAGATTACTTATGTAATAATATCACATCATTCTCGTGGGTTTTTTGAATTTTGTTAATCCCCAAAAGAATTCTTACAAGGTAGTAAAGGAAGTTTATACATTTAATAAACGTTTCTCAGGTGGTCCCTAAATAAATGACTGCCAACTAGGGAGGGGGAAGTTTGAATTTGAAACAATTTGAAGCTTTGATGGTTTGCCAAATGTACACATTTGTTGTAAGAATTATTTTCTTTTCTGGAGGTATGGTTATAAGAGGAAAGCTTGGTTAAGGGACTGTAGAATAGCAGATGAGTTGCTTTTTTGAAGCATTCCTATGGGATAAAGTAACCCTGTGGTAACCGTATTATGTGATTAATTTTTTTCAAGCTTGTCACTTAGAAAATTGCCATTTTTAATGATTTTTTAAATGTTCTGTCTATGAAGAGGGGGGAAGAGGGGAGATTATATTCCAATTTTAAAATTTCTTTATGATAATGTATTGTGTTCTAAGATCTATTCAAAAGCTTCATTTTGTTTTTGTTTTTGTTTTTGTTTTTGTTTTTGTTTTTGTTTTTTTTAATTCCAAAGCCTGAAGTTCTTCTAAATTCCTAGAATTTCAAAAAGTCAAATGCTGAGCAACTGGTAACAAATGATGATACCATTGTGAGACTGTTTTAAGACTCCCAAGGATGTGGCAATTCTTTTCACTCCATCATGTCCAATGAATGTAAAACTTGCATAGTGAAGAAAAGCATTGCATTTCCCAAGCTATTATGGGGGAACTCCTTAATGAAATATTCAGTCTTTATGAAGGGTTTTTTTTGATTGCCTTTATGGATGGCTGTGATTTGAATGCATAGATTTTATAACTCATATTGTAGTATGAGTTAAGCCAAAGTTAAAATGCAACCCCTCTAAAGAGTTTACTTGGCTTCTCTAACACACCCCAAAATTCATCTTCATATTTTCTGCAAAAAAAAAAAAAATTTCTTAATCTTGACACCAGGAGCCTACAATGTGGCTTACCAGAGAACTTAAAATATTTTGTATTCCTTTTATGTGTTAAACTCTACAGAATATATGAAGCAACACTTAGAGAAGTGACAACATCCCAAGCTTCCCCCATACTTCTTAGAGATATGCCTTCACATTCAGCCATTAAGAAAAATCAGTGCCAACCTGATGTTCTGGTTGTTCCTAAACTTAATTGAAGAAATACACACTCACAATTAAAATAAAGAATGTTTAATGTAAATCAAATGTCCTTTTAGATATGAAGCCTACAGAGTTATTATTTACATATCGTTATAGTTAATATTGCCATCTATTGCACCCTTAGAGCCCAAAGTATCCAATGGAGCTCATGATTTAGAATATCTCATTTATTCACATGTCCTAAAAAAGGTGTGAGGCAGTTCCTCTGCTCTCTTATAAAGCTACTCTTCTATTCCGCGGTATCTCGTATCTCACATCAAACCCACTGGTTATGCTATATTTTTTGAGAGTGCATAGGTCTCTTCCCTTACTATCCAAATTATCCATTCCTGCGATACCTTAGAGAGGCTGAGCATGACTACTTTAGCAATTTGACTTTTTTTTTTTTATGTAGTTGTTGTGCTTGATATTGATTAGGCTGTTTGCTTTAGTCGTTTCCTTCCTTCCTTCTCCCCAAATACAATTTTTAAGGTTACATTCCCCTCAGGTTTGTTTGCCTTTATTTCTAAATGGTATGGCAGCTCTTTAGAAGGAGATTCAGTGCTAACTAAAAGTTGCCAATTAATGGTATCAGTGATTTGAATGCATAGATTTTATAACTCATGTGTAGTATGAGTTAAGCTGAAGTTAAGACAATGGGTTAAAGATATGCATAATGTGTACATAGAGGGGTATCTTCTGTGCACATATGTCTACCATGTACAGTCATGATTGCAAAATATTGCATTTTATGAACATTTATTTTAACCTTTCAAATTGTTATTCTTGTAATTAATTGAACTGACAATTGCTTCTCTTCAGTACGTTTCATTTTAAGCAGATAGCAAAGAGAAAAATCACTGGTGACATGCTTTTTAAAATCATTTTCACCTGTATTTTGTCTTTCAAAGAGAAAAGTGATCTAAATTGGTATTGTAAAATGAAGTTGTTAGCAAAGAATATTTTGGATTTTTCTCTAGTTTTTTTCTTTTGGTAGTAAACAATTATTAACAGTACAACACATAATGAAAGAATAAAGCAATGTTTGAGAGTGTAATTTATAAGTGGTCATTGTCTTTATACTTGAAATACTTCCTTCTTACCTTAAAGTTAAAAAAAAAGTTAAAAACAAAACAAGAAAAAATAGAGTTGCAAGTACTTTTAGTTTGTTTTTTTTTTTTTTTAATGTACTGCCCATTGGCAATATTAAATAGTGCAGTAAAATCATTGTTATCTTTAAGTCTTGGAAATTTTCAATATTTCAAAAGAAGTTAGAGAAAGAAATTGGTAAACTTATTTGACTCACAAATTTATTCATAGTGAACCGTGACCTGCATTGCCACATTTTCTTGTTTGTTTTCTCTGAAGCTTGGCTGGACTGGTTACCGACATTAACTGCCAGGAGTATGATCTGCTGTGCCACTTTTCATTTTATCTGTACATAAGAGTTGGCTTAAGTTTTCTTTCCACTCCAGGATTTATGATTATTATTCCAGGTTTTCTCTCAAGTTACTTAAAGTATCAATCACAGTCACATGTGTCACATTCATTCTGTCTCCCGCTGGAACCAGAACCTCTCATGAAGCTACTTGGGTATTTTAGATGTTTTGTAATTGTCATGAATGTGCTAAATTTTGTTTGTTTTAATTGCTAGAAGAAGCATTTCACTCTTTATGTTGATTCAATTTTATCTTTTCTTCCAAAATATTGAGTAGAGTTTTATTAGTATGTGTTTTTTTTTTATCCAGTGGTATTAAATACTCATTTATTTCACAGGCGCGCAGTAATACATGCTCAACTGACAAGTGGACCATGAAGACTCCTTCTGCTGGGTTCCTCCTAAGCAAAGAATCATTACTTTATACACCTGACATCTTAAGTAGATCCAGATTTGACTCCAGTGAGTCAGTGCCATTAACTGCCAGGAGTATGATCTACTGTTGCCACTTTTAGTTTTATCTGTACATTAGAGTTGTCTCCTATCTTGGGATTGTCAGATAGTTTAAATCATTCTCAGATTCACCGACCTCACTCGTTGCATTGTCAGAATGTCCTGTGTTTACTCCTTAATTTTTTAAGAATGAAGTTGGGCAAAGGTTATTTTTTAAATACTGTGGGGTTTTTTGCTTCCTATTAATTTGAACTTTGAAAATAAATCCCCAGCATTTTAAGAGTGTATATAAGGCTTCATTTCTCAGCTAGAAGATGGAAGAGATATGACTGTCTTACAGCAGTTTCCCAAAAAAGGGAAATAGTCAAAACCATTTTGTTTGCTTCTTCCTAGTAAATTTCTAAGAAATGTTCATTTCTTCCTGAAAGCAGCATTCTCTTAAGAAAAGCAGAAAGAATGAGAATTTGTAATGTTAACCCATTTAGTACTTGCTTCCCAAAAGCAAATGCTCATATCCCCTATTAAAGTGAATTTCTTCAAGTGCCAAAATTTCAGTTAGAATAAAACAGATGACTTGGAAGGGGGAGGGAGGGGTAAGATACAGGTTCTGTTACTTGAATGTGTGGCTAATCTGTGATTCTAAAGTTCCTCATTGACGGCTACAGTTCACTGTGGAAACAACAGAGGTAACCTACATTACATACACACGGTGAGAAACAAAGTACAAAGCCACGATATTTCTAATGCACTGGCTCTCGTGTCTTTAGGTCTCAGCAGTAAGTCCGGTGGTGCGTAATCTGTGAGGCTTTATTTTTTGACCCTCCTGCGTCGTCATACATCTATCTTTTTATTGTACCACATGTAATTTCTTTCCTGTTTTTTTCCTTAACATGTCTTAGGCTACTTACACATATTTTAATATCACAAGATAGCCTTCCAAAATGAAGAAACAATTGCCGAGCACACAGGAACCAGCCTCTTTTGACTCCCATGCCATTGTCTTTCTCCATTAGGTCCCTTAACAACTCAGCTAGAAACACACGGCAGATTTTTTTTTCCCCGACTCAGTGAGTAATTGTCTGCGCTGCAGTGACAGATGTGCAATATAGCAGCTTCTTCAGGAAAAAATTAACAGTTTGTCCAGCATGTCAGCTCGCTCTTTTTAGTGCTTGGGAGGTCTTGGCCCCATTATGGATGATTTAGAAATTGAGGCAAGCAAAGACCAGCTGCTTGTGCTGAAAGCCTTCGTTAGTGGGTCTCATCTGCATTCCAGGACTCGCTTACATCCAGAAATTGGTGGAGCCCCTCTGGCCACAAGATGAGTATGGGCTGACAATGCCTTGATTTGTTGAGAGAGAATAAATGGGTTTTTCAGAAGATGAGGAAATATCACCATTACTGGCCAATTTACAGCATTTTATCTGTTCTTCAAACATGTCACTTTTGTTATTGTTGCATGGTAATTACATAGGGAAACGGGAAGAAAACAAATTCTGGTTACGTATTCAGATGGATTGCAAAATCATATAATCCTGATAAATGCCCATTTATGATACACACGGATGAAAGGTTCATTTTAATTTTGAATGGCCAGCTCAGCCATAAATAGGATATAGGATTAAATTTCCGAGAATCTGATTACATCAAAGTAAACCGTCTTTCTCCTCACTTTTTCAAATTCAGGGCAATACCACAAGGCATTTCCACCAAGGAGATTCTCCGGAGATAACACAAAAAATAAGTCCAAAAGTACATTGCAAAAGGATGGGTGAAGCTTGAGGGCTGCTGTGTTCTGGGGACCGCTCTGTCCTACATGCTTCTCCATGGGCCTGGGCTGAAATACTTGCAGCTTAGCGGAATCGCCCAGTATTCTCAAGCTCATGTTCCTACATGGTCACCTCTAGCATCTTAGCAAATATGTGAAGAGGAGAAGTCCAGAGTTCCCCTTGTGTTCCTCTTTGGATTATTCCTCTTGCCCACTCCCATCCCCAGCCGGGGTATCACAGAGGGATGCTGCCTCTGGATGTTTAGCTGAGAGCACAGGTAATGAAAAGCAGAGAGATGGAAAGGATACAAGCAGGGAGCAGCCCCCCAGGGCCACTGCTAAGTGTCAGGTGTGTAAAGTAATGAGTCTTGCGTAGGAGGAGCCCAGCAGAAGGAGTCTTCATGGTCCAGTTGTCAGGTGAGTGTATATTACTGCACGCCTGTGAAATAAATGAGTATTTAATACCTGTTGGCTCCCAAGTTTGCGGTGACGAGGAAAAGCAAACGGAAGAGACACTGGGCCTGAGGGAACACATGTCACCTCTGTTCGTGAACCACCGGCCAGACCTGGCCATGTGGGCACAGGAGAGTAGCAAAGAAGCGCAGCCAGTAGGCAAGCATGTGGATATTTAATGAGCACTATTTCTGCCATGTGGTTTTAACAGGACACATCCACTGTTCAGTATCAAAGCAGCATATATCGTATTTCACTTAATCAAACAGGCTAGCAATTTTAAGATGCATTTAATTTTGTGTGCCATTAAGAAACAAAAATGAAAAAACTGTCAAGTTATTATCTACCACTCACAGCAATATGTGTCTCAATTTCAGAATTTTTTTAGGATAATAAAATATGTTTATAAGTATTGAATAAAAGAGCAGAGAAAAAAAAATATAAGAATGTCAGCAAAGCCTGCATGGCTGGCTGAGATTGGAGCTGCTCCTTGAAGAATGACAGGATGTGCCAGTAGCCCCCTTCGTGTGTATGTTGACATAATGTGATCTAAAACGCAGAGGCATTGGTGTTACTCCTAGCTGGTCTCAAATCAGCCCTAACACTTTGATTTGGGACCAGTCTTGCACATTTCAAGCTACTTTGCTGAATTCATAAGTAGTAATTACTATGTCATAACATTAACTACCTCAGGCCAGCGCCGCAGCTCACTAGGCTAATCCTCCGCCTGCAGTGCCGGCACCCCGGGTTCTAGTCCCGGTCGGGGCACCGGATTCTGTCCCGGTTGCCCCTCTTCCAGGCCAGCTCTCTACTGTGGCCAGGGAGTGCAGTGGAGGATGGCCCAAGTGCTTGGGCCCTGCACCCGCATAGGAGACCAGGAGAAGCACCTGGCTCCTGGCTTTGGATCAGCGCAGTGCGACGGCCGCAGCGCGCTGGCCACAGCAGCCACTGAGGGGTGAACCAAGAGAAAAAGGAAGACCTTTCTCTCTGTCTCTCTCTCTCTCACTATCCACTCTGCCTGTCAAAAAGAAGAAGAAAAAAAAAAAATTAACTACCTCATGAAGATTTACTGAAGTAATGCACATTAAATACCCCAGCACAGTGGCTGACACATAGCAGGTGCTTTAAATTAAATACCTTTTCTTTTTCTTTTTCTAATAAAGTGAAAAATTGTTCTTGTTACTCTTCTTCCTAAAAGGTCAGAGGAACAGGATTGGAAAGGAATGTGAACACATATGTTTTGTTAATGGGTCCCTATAAAAATAGTAATAAGCCATCTTCCTATTTTTGTAGGCAGTGATAAACATACTATTAAAAAGGAAACTTTGAGAGCTGGAGCTGTGGCATAGTGGATTAAGCCACCATCTGCGGCATTGGCATCCCTATGGGTACCGTTTGAGTCCCGGCTGCTCCACTTCCCATCCAGCTCCCTGCTAATGCATCTGGGAAAGCAGCAGAGGGTTACCCAGGTCTGTGGGCTCCTGCCCTGTCTGGTAGACCAAGAAGCAGCTCCTGGTTCCTGGCTTCAGCCTGGCCAAACCCTTGCCATGGCAGCCATTTGGGTAGTGAACCAGTGGGTGGAAAATATTTCTGTGTCTCTTTTCTCTCTAACTCTGCTTTTAATAAAATAAAGCTTTAAAAAAAAAGTTGGATGACTCTAAGTGATAATGGTTTTTAAAACTGTACCAAGCTACAACCTATAAACTCAAAAGCACAAAGTTCAACCCCTTGAACTCAATGAATAATCTACTAGCAGAATGCCAAATACCTAAGAACCACCATCCACCCCTACCGTGGCCTCTGGAACCAACTAGGGCTCTCCCTGTTCTTCTGCTTATGTCCTAGAACCAAGAGCTTGAGATAAGTAGCCCAACCCCACTGGAGAGTGTGGTATACCCAAGACATTAAGAAAAGCTAATGTTTGAAAAATGTTCTTAGAGGAAATACT